GTTAGACTCACTGCTTCAACACAGGATCTGTTGGTATAAAGTCAGACATGTTGGTGTATTGTTGGAATAGATGGTGGATATTTACAGCATGCACCACATCTGGGAAGAATTTAAATACTTTAATTCAAGTTGATTTGCCTTTTTTTGGTCTGTAAGTACAAATCTTCTTCCCCACTCAGTTTGTTATCATGAGAGGGTAAAACTAATAAACAAAAACTGTCAAGATCATGACTTGTATTTAAACTGGTTCCATTAAAATATTTGGAAAAGTTCTCTCCTAAAAGTCATAGCTGTAAAGTGAATTTTCTGACTTAATCCCCACATATTTGAGCTTCTTTGAGCTCCATTGAGCAAACACCAGGAAGTCAGACAAACACTGTGAGCCGCAGCGCCTTCTGCTCCAAAGCCATGACCAACACGTGTTGAAACATCAGCAACACATTCCAGCTGTCGCCTCCAACAATTAGGAGCAGATCTGTGAGAGAGAAGCAGCCCAGCCATCTTATCACCCTGAACATCTCTGTGGGAAATCAGTGGTGGGAAAAGATGTTTACTCAAGCATTTCACATCTTCCAGGCTGAGATTTATGTGCAACTGTGTCTATCCCAGAACCATGTGAAGATCGGGCTTGAAACACAACCAGCAAAAGATTAATGGGATTCCTTTTTCAACAAGCGGACTCTCTGTGGTGCAGACTGCACACAAAGAGCTTCATGCTGGATTCAAACAGTCATTCTCAACAGTTACCAGTTTATGGAGCATTCTGGCACAGGTGTGCTCCAATTAAACCATTCCCATCCCGTCAGCGTACAGGTGGGCGCACTGATGTAAACACGGGTACACTGACCTTAAGGCAGACACATTTCTCATTCCTTTGACTCCATATAAAACCACACACAACAACAAGTTAAGAACTGATACGGTTTTAGTTCAGCTCTGATTCAGGTGTTTGTTTCTCTGCACCTTGTGTCTGTAAAGTCGTTGAAAAGGAGCGCTGTGTGTTTGCAGCTGTGCGAGGACAAACCATGAAGTGTCCGTCAGCCTCGGCCTCTGGAGTCGTGCTCCCACTCCACCTCAGGAGAAGGATTCCTTCAGAAAGCCGAGCAGAGTTTATTTTGGGCCAGGTTTAATCAGAGGACGCTCAGGTCGGACACACTGGAGGTAAAGAGCTGTGTGAAGGCCCACAGTGCGCTCTCCAAATGTTTAGTTAACGTTACGGACGGCCACCTGGGGTTTCAGACGGGCCGAGCTCCTCCAACAGGACACAGGTTCAGATATTTATCGGGCTTCCCTGGAGTTTGCTCTCTGACTCAAACTGTTTTCAATTCATCCAATTATCTCCAACGTTTTGGCTCCTTCCATTGATGCGTCCTTGATTTTTCCCCAGGAACAGCAGCTTGACTGTAAAGGCCACAGTGTGAACATGGAAAACACACAATGAAGACATTATTTGTTCAGTCTGCAGGCTGCCAGCATCAGATGTGGAGGAGGTGATGCAACAAACCTCTGCTCCGCTCTTCAGTCAGCACTGATCCTCAACAGGATCCATTGTTTCTTCCAGCGCTCCTCACAGCCAGTGAGCCGTGCCAGAGAGGTTCATGGGAGTACTTCTTCTCCACTTTGTCGGTAAATTAGTCGGGTTCCTCCCAGTTTGTGAGCTCTTCTGGTTGGAGGTGGTTCAGGCCCACAAAGATCATGCAGAGGAACAAAGAGGAGCAGAATCCTGAGCCGTCCTGGTTGTGAGGCAGCTCGTGTGAAAACCACTTCACCTGCAAGTAAACACGCAGAAAACTCTTTCCTGGCAGGGGGAGGACTGTGGGGTCCGAGCCAGGAAAGCTGTTCCACATTCACAGAAAATGACTGCCTTCTGGCAAAGCCCCACGTACACAAAACAAATGTCCACTTTGAAACTGCCCCCCCCCAGGCCTCAGCTTTTAGAGACCACATCGCTTCAGACCAGCCTTTGGTGTCCCACCCTTACTGAAGCTTTCAGACCACACCGAGACCCCCAAACAAGCAGGTCTTAAAGAAGGTGTTCAACCTCCCCACAGACGCAGGTTCAACCCCCCCCCCCCCCCAACACACACACACACACACACAGACACAGGTTCAAACCCCCCCCCCCCC